CATTGGGGCGTGGTCTCTCTCCCTTTAAAAAAGCGGCTATTTCCTCTGCTCGCTCTCTTCACTTCCTGCTCCGCCGGAGACTAGACTCCCTTCCTGGTTGTGCAGATGGCTGTTGTCTGGGACGGTGATCTGTAAGTTTTCCCCTTTAAATAAATAACACCCTATTAATCATAACTCCAAACTGGTGTGGCCTTGTTCGTGACTTACGCCTTCAGCCAATGCCATCCCAAACTTCAATTTAGCCTCAGGCAGATTTTTTGGGAAAGGGCAAAAATCAGCCACATTCTTTGACAAAACATCACAAAAATGGTCTCTAGGCCACTCACTAATGTTCTTCCTCTCTGAAATTTCTTGAGTTGGGCCCCCACAATTCAAATTACCCTCCTCAACGAGCAGTGGCGGTGCATGTCTTTAGTCCCAGCACTCGGGAGGCAGAGCTGGGCGGATCTCTGTGAGTCCGAGGCCAGCCTGGTCTACAGAGTGAGTTCCAGGACAGCCAGGGCTACTCTGAGAAACCCTGTCTCAAAAAACCAAAAACCAACACAATAAAACAAAAAAACAAACAAAGACTGAATACAGATCGCAGTCTCCAAAGCGGCTTCCACTGTTGAAAACTGAATGGGAGACAGGTAACATGGAGAAATCAAATGTATCAAGAAATAACAGATGTTTATATATAAAGCTCTTGAAAACCCTTAAACTGTATTGTTTTACATTGACATATGCAGCAAAGTGTACCGTCATGTCCATGGAACTCAGGATTCTTCAGCACATGAACCAAGGCTGTCTTAGTTAGGGTTTCTATTGCTGTGGTAAAACACCATGGGCAGAAGCAACTTGGGAAGAAAAGTGTTTGTTTCAGCCTCTACCTCTCAGGTCACACCCATCCTTGATGGAAGTCAGGTGAGGAACCCAAGGCAGGAACCGAAGCGCAAGTCATGAAGGGTGCTGCTTACTGGCTTGCTCTCCATGCTCAGCCTATTCTCTTGCAAACCCCTTACAAACCCCAGAACTGCCTGCCCAGGGATCTATCATTAATCATTAATCATCTATTATTAATCTAGAAAGCACCCTTCAGACTTGCCTATCAGCCAATCTGATGGAGGGATTTTCCCAGTTAAGATTCCTCCTTTTCCAGAAACGTCTAAGTTTGCATAGACAGTGACCAGCTGTCAAGAACACCCCCCAATCTGGGTGCTCTCATGTCCATGTAAGAGGGTCCTAAGGCATCACATGGTTCCAGAAGTTCCTTGTCTTGTACTCATTTCTCTGTTTCTTTCTGCCTTCAGATAGTGGTTATACCCAAGAAACCACAACCCTCCAGGTGGTACTCTCCCTTCCAAGAAATCCCCCTCAGGTCTGACTTCCGCTTCAGGAAGCAGAAGTACCGACTGAAAAAAACAAGGCAGCTTCCTGTTACAGGGTCTTCTGGTCTGGGGCTGCAGCCACACCGTAGACTTTTCCTAGGACTTTTGGCTGTGTGCTAAGGGTGCTTTCAAAGGAGAACTGAGCCAAATGGTCTAATGTTTCCAGCCTTTTGTTTTGTGTAGTTTATGTAGTTATTGCTTTGAGAATGAGGAGCAGGAAACACAGAACAGGGTACCAGACCTCACCAAACTCTAAACACCCTGGGTGGAGGTGATGGGGGAGGTGATGGGAGAAAGTGAGCATTTGATGTTTTATTATTGTTAATATTATTGTTTGAGTGAGAGTCTCATTCTGTAGCCCAGGTTTATCTTGATGATGCTCCTGCCTCAGCTTTCCTGTGCTAGGATTCTAGGTGTGAGCAACCATGCCTGATGCTCTCTCCTCTCCTCTCCTCTCCTCTCCTCTCCTCTCCTCTCCTCTCCTCTCCTCTCTTCTCTCCTTTCCTCTCTTCTCTTCTCTCCACCCCTCTGCTCCACCACTCCCCTCTCCTCTCCTTTACCTCCCCCTTGCTTTTCTGTTTTGAAACAGGGTCTCCTGTAGTCTATGCTGGCTCCAAATTCATTTTTAGCCATAACTGGCCTTGGATTTCTGATTCTCCTGGCTCTCTCCACGTGCTGGAATTGAAGTCATGTGCCACCATACCCAATTCATCTGCTATTTTCTTTTAAATTTTTATTTCATCAGGTTAATATATGCATAGAGTTAAAAAAAAGAACTACCTCAAGACACACAGTAAAGATAGCATTATTATCTCCCAAACTTCTGGTCTCCTAGGATAATTCTTTCAGCTACTTCTGACAACATTTATTCTCACATTTCTAGGGAATATTCTTATGCTAGTTTTGGAGGAGGCATAGAATGTGCACACGCTCTTTGTGTGTCCATGTAGGTGCAGTGTGAGTGGGTGTGTGCATGCAGGTACAATGTGAGTATGTGTGTGCTTGCATAGGGAAGCTAGAGGTTGATGTCAGCTCTGGTACTCAGTCACCACCCACCTTCTCTTTCTTAAGACAGGGTCTCTGGCTGACCTGGAGCTCGCTGAGTTGACAGACTGGCTGGCCGGTCAACTTCAGGGATCCAGCTGCCTCTCCCTTCCCAGTGCTGGGGTGCACGCTGCTCTACTATGGGGTTTTAGGAATCCCAACTGGCCCTGTGGTTGTGTCGTAAGTGCTTCAGAGACTGAGCCATCTCCAAATTCCCTAATATTTTTTTCTTCAGCTCAAGATTTTATTCAGTGGCCTTCTATTATTTAACTTGATAGTGTGACTCTGTTTTCCCCTGTTCCATAAATACACACAGACACACTTCCTTTCTACCCACTGTAATTGTTTTATAGTTTCTGGCTTGTTAATCAATATTGACTTGATAATCATTATATGACTATGATATCAAGCTGAGTCATGCGGTGTATGCTATAATTGTATTTGTATGACCTGTGCTTTCCCAGGGGTTCATAGTTACTTTCTCATATCCTTCACTTTCCTCTTTGCTTATGTATTTATTGAGACAGAATCGTAATGACACAGCCCAAGGTGATTTCAAACTTGACATCCTCCTGTGTAAGCCTCCTAAGCACTGCCCATTCAGTATGGTACTCTTTTCAGAGTGTTTATGGCAAGTGCGTAGGTCTCTGGTGAGAGTCCATCCCAAGCTACACATCCCCAACTATCCTTATTATTGCTGTGTAATCTTTTCCCTTCTCAGAAACCAAGAGCCCAAGGAAAAACTCCAGCCGAAGGATTACAGAAAACGTTCACATGTATCTCTACAACTGCAGCTTTCTCTTTCTCAGGAATTGGGGACTAGAAAGAGGCCAGTGAGATGTGGAGCGACCCGAGAGGAGGCAGCAAAAGCTAAGAAGTAGGAAGTAGAACACGGGAAACATTCTCTGATGACCCAAGATGGGGAGCTGAGTGGTCTCAGCCAGCCAACTGTGTCCTCTGCCCTACTGCAGATGAACAAGTCATACTGTGACTCACCCGAACATTTAGTGTGGAAATAAAAACTTCAAGATCAGAGTTCCCTATACAGAATGGATGGGAAGGCCACCAGGGCGCATAAACTGTGATCGGAACAATTGTGTTTGCAGTTCTCTGAGGGTATCAATTACTGTGCTTCCCATAATTCTCCAAGAGTTCCCTCATTAGGTAAGCTTATTGGTATCCACGCCTGTCTCTGTTAGTTTTCCTGGAGTACCTGGTAATCCTTGAATATTTGCTCTTGTCTCTTTTGGTACTGAAGACTGAATTTACGACCTCACCCATCCTGCCCCTTACCTTGCCATACTCTTTCCCCAACTACAAAAGTTGTAAAATAGGCACTAAAAGTTACAACATGTGGAGAAAAGAAACTCCAGTCTAAGGGTAGACTGGCAACTTTGTGGATGGAGCCCAGTTCATGCTTCTTAGCTATGCTGCAAGGAAAACAAATGAGGCTTATAAATATTCTGTTTCCTCTTATCCTTCCCTACCCCTCCTCTTTTCCCTTTAAACAAAATTTGCATTTTATTTAGATGAAATAAATGCGGTTTTTATTTTCTTTATCAGACTTAACAGCAATATTTTGGGTATTAAATATTTCTCTCTTTATTATTGTTTGGCCGGGATCTTTACCCCAGCCTCTTAGCATCCAAATATACAAGGAAAAAATATTTAGTTAAAAACGTCACCTCAGCCCCTAACATCCTTATCCAAAAAGCCTGGAATGTTTAGCTGGGAGCTTCACCCCAGCTCCTAGCATAAGCTGCCTCCCCTGGGAGTTGCCTCAGTCCAAACTCCACCTAAAAAAGCCCGCCAAAAGGTGAGCACTCCCACAGGCTATTTAAACTGCCCCCCCCCCAGAGAATGAACACGTGGTATCCTGATTTTCCATTGTCTTTCAGGACTCTGTCCCCCTCTCCATGTTTTCCTGGAGGGCCACCCGGGAGTATTGCCATCCATTAAACCTGGGTGTCTTCTAATTTGGTCTGATTGGGATTATTGCGTTGGCGGAGAGGTTTGTCAGCTAAGGAAAAATACTTAACAGAGAGGTGTTAGCTGGCGTTCCTCCCCACTGCTTCAAGTCTCACAGGAGTGACACCCACATCACCCTGTCAGGTCAGCTCTGGAGGTGCTTAGTGGTGTTTCTAGAAGTGTCAGACACCAGTATGAGGATCGAATCTGTGAAATACCCTCCTCAGGGTCCATCTCAGGGTCTGTGGGCACTTCCTCCTGATTTCCTCTCTCCTTTCCCAATGCTGACAAAACTCTTCACCGGCTGCCCGTCCCCATGTCATTGTTCCTTACTACTGTATGCCAGGCACGCATAGTGGATACTTATCTTCATGGGGTTTAATTTGGGGTAGGAAGCAGGGGAGAGGGTAGGAAAACAATATGGTCCACGTGAACTCAAAATTTGACAATATGGGAGAGGCTGGAGAGATGGCTCAGTGGTTAAGAGCATTGCCTGCTCTTCCAAAAGTCCTGAGTTCAATTCCCAGCAACCACATGGTGGCTCACGACCATCTGTAATGAGGTCTGGTGCCCTCTTCTGGCCTTCAGGCACACACACAGAAAGAATATTGTATACATAATAAATAAATATTTTAGAAAAATTTGACAATATGGTAGATCTTAAAGTTCTTATACACAATAGGTGCTGGTGTGAGACGATTGGTGTGTTCATGAGCTTAGTAATCACTCATGATATATAGATAAATACTTTTTAAGCCATCATGCTACACCCCTTCAACGAATCTACTTCAATAAAGTTAGGGCAAGAGGACTATAGGACACAAGTAAGACGAGCTGTAAGGTGATAAATTCTAGGACAAGGACAGTTCGTGCTGGGTGAGGTCATTGCTTGAGACCCTGAGAGGAAGCAGGCTGAGGCTTGGGAAGAGAGGCCAAGATAAGCTTCCCCAGAGAAGGGGTCAGAGGGGCATGCAGGATGTGGGGAAGATGGTCCTGATGAAGGAAAGTCTCCACTGAAATACTAACCCATGGAGGTGGTGGCACACATGGGCTGGAGGGTTGGGAGTTTGAGACCAGCCTGCCTTATAAACAAACACCCTGTTTCAATAAAATAAAATAAATTGAAACAGACAAGAACTAAATGCCAGCCTGGCCTACACAAGGAGTTCCGGGCCAGTCACGACTGTATAGCAAGACCCTGTCTCAAGTAAAAACAAGACAAAACCTAAATTCAATAAAATTTAATCTAAAATTTGGATTTATTCTCTCTAGTCAAACTAATATTCTTAAATATCATGAATTACACTGCTCAAAGCTCAGTAATGATACCGCATGGTCTGTGTGATAAAATTAAAATTTCTTTACTCACTGTTCAAAGTCCTTAGCAATCTGCTTTCTCTAATGCCTACGTGACAGAGGGGCTGTCTCCCACTGTGACCTCTTCCTAACCGTGACTCCAACTGAACATCTCTTATTGTCTGTATTCTGCACCCTTTCCCTTCCCTCTGCTCCCCTTCCCTCCCCTCCTCTCTCTTTCCCTTCCTTCCCATCCCCTTTCCTTCCTTCTCCTCTCCTTCCCTCTTCTCCCCTCCCTTCTCCTCTCCTGCCCTCCCCTTCTCTCCTCTCCCCTCCCCTCTCTTCCCCTTTTCTCTCCTCTCCTTCCCTCTCCTCTCCTCCCCTTCCCTCTCTTCTCCTCCCCACTTCTCCTCTTCCCTCTTCTCCCCTCCCCTTCCATTCCCTCTCCTCTCCTCCCCTCCGCTCTCTTTTTCTCCTTACTTCTCCTCTTCCCTCTTCTCCTCTCTCTTCCCCTCCCCTTCCTTCTCCACCCCTCCATTACTCTGTTTGATTTGCACTCACATCATAACTTCTCAAACATTTACTTAGATCTTCAAGAGGATGAATTCAGAAGAGAACAGAACCCTCGTGACGCTGAAAGGACACTGCTGTGATTTGCCACTTGGCACAGGCAACTCAAGACGACGTGGTAGAAGTAACACAGGTGACAGTCCTCAACTTGACTAGGGGAAGCTACTGCCCAAAGCCCCTCCCCCATCCAGGCTTCTCTTCACCCCAAAAGAGAGAGGAGGCTCAAAATCACAGGAAGGGCCAACTGGGCATGGTGGGGGTCAGCTGGGCGTGGTGGGGATTGGTTGGGCGTGGTGGAGGTCAGCTAGGCATGGGGGGCTCAGCTGGGTGTGTTGGGGGTCAGTTGGCCTGGTGGAGGTCAGCTGGATGTGGTAAGGGTTAGCTCGGCCTGGTGGCACACGCCTTTAACCCCTGCACTTTGGAGGCTGAGGCAGGTGGATCTCTGTGAGTTTGAGGCCAAAGTGGTCTACACAGAGAGGTCCTGCCTAAAAATAAAAGTTAAAAGCAAGATTAAAGCCTGGTAGAAAAGAACGTGTAGGAAGCATTAGTTTTCATCTCTGATTCAATATTTTGCAATTCCATGGCACTGTGACCACTTAAAAATTAAGGCATTGTTAATATGTTCCATTCGGAAGCACTGCATACTTACAGAGTTGAGTGTAGTGGCTCACACCGGTGATCCCAGCACGCCAGCAGCTGAGACAGGATGATTAGGCGTGTCAGGCTGTGCATGGGACTGAACTAGGCCCTCTGCATATGGGAGACGGTTGTGCAGCTTGGTCTGTTTAAGGGGCCCCTGGCGGTGGGATCAGGATCCATCCCTGGAGCATGAACTGGCTTTTCGAAGCACTTCCCCATGGTGGGATGCCTTGCTCAGCTCTGATGCAGGGGAGGGAGCGAGAAAGGCAGAAAGAGTAGTGATGTGTCGCCATCTGCAGGTTATATTATGAATTACAATTGAGTCGGGTTTGACTTGTTGGCAGTCATTTCAGAACCTTGTTAAGAACTCTAATTTAGAAACGTCAGAGAAAGACCCTAGCTGCTTGTTCTGAAGGAAAGTCCAATCACCCTCTCTTTTTGCAGGACAACGCCTGGTTCCTGTGGGTGGGCCCCCGCTAGAGACCCATTGCCCCCGGGAATCCATCCCAACTGCCTATCAGGACAGTAACGTTTTGGTCCATGCTCCAGACGCCCCGGATATGGACTGAAGAGGCATGTTTTTCTTTTTCTTTGCAAACGGCAGGATCAGCAAGTCCTATTGGTAGAGCCCTTGCCTGGGCTTCTTCACAGTCAATCTGTCTTGGTACAGACCACTGGATGGATTCCATATGGGTAAACCAAGACATTCAGAGTCACCCAGGAAAGCTCTTTTTGGTGACCTAGGAAGGCTGCGGCTGTGGCGGCAGGTGTGAGTGGTGTTCTTAGAGTTATCCCACCATTCAGATCTCTCAGGCTAGCTGGATGTGGTGGTCCACACCTTTCATCCCAGCACTGGGCAGGCAGAAGGAGGCAGCTGGGAACTGGGCACAAGCACAGACTATGAGGTGGCATCCTACTGCAGGAAGACAAATCCCAAAGACAAAATCCTCCCAGAGGGCACTAATAATAGAGTCGGGAGAGTTAACAAAGCTCGGTTGAAACTGTGCATATGTGAATTATGAAGGGGGTTTGGGGGGCTTGTCAAAATATGTTGGAACCATTTGGAGTCCTGGCCTCCAGCTGCTCTTCCCTGCTAGAGATCTTTACTTCCCTTCTGATTTGAGTTACTGAAAGCTGTGTCAAAGTTGTTTACCAGCTCTGCTTCACGAGCACGTGTGTCAAAGTTGCTTACCAGCTCTGCTTCACGAGCACGTGTGTCAAAGTTGTTTACCAGCTCTGCTTCACGAGCACGTGTTGCTTTGCCTTGAGGATCAGAGGATAAGGTTTTCACCTGTTGGCCCACCTGACTGTTGGGTATATAAGCCTCCGTGGTGCTATTGAATAAAGGGCTTCTTACCAGTGACTAGAGGTCTGTGTCCCTGTCTCTCTGTGTGTGTCTTTGTGTGTTTCAACCTCCAGCCCCTTGCCCGAAGCTCAGAAGCTCGCGAACTGTATGGTAGCGAATAGAACACAGACAGACGTTGTGCATGCAAAAATACACACAGCAGAAAAGTTATAATTATTTTTAGGTGTACAGGTCTGTGATATTAAATCCACTCACATGGCTGAAGACCTCTTCACGTAGCAAAGCTGACGTTTTGCGCCCATTGACCGTCCCTTCCACGCCCTCCCAGGCCCTGACAACTAGCATTCCGCTCATCCCATTTCAATTATGGTTCTCATACAGCTGGCTGTAGTGGCGCAGGCCTTTAATTATAGTACTTAGGAGGCAGAGGCGGGTGGATCGCTGGGAGTTCAAGGGCAGTCAGGTCAACGTGGTAAGTTCTAGGACAGCCAGAGCTACTAGAGAGACTCTGTCTCAAAAAAAAAAAAAAAAAAAAAAAAACAAACAAACAAAATGAAAACAAAAACAGAAAAACCAAAATCGAACAATTACAGTTCTGTGTATTTATTTATTGATGTGGGTGTGTGGTGTAAGCATATGAGGATGTGGGTGTGTGGTACAAGTGTGTGAGGGAGTGTGTGTGAGAGAGAGGGCGTGTGAAGAGGCTAGAACAGAGTGTCCAGATCATCCTTTATGATTCTTCTCCTTACTGCCTTCCAACTGGGTCTTTCACCGTGGTGGTTTGAATAACGTGTCTCCCACAATCTCCAGCGTTTGAATGCATGGTCCCCAATTGCTTGCACTATTGGGGGAGGCTAAGGAGAGATGGCCTTGCTGGAGGAAGTGTATCACTGGGGATGCCTATTGGGATCTCAAAGCTTTGTTCCAGTGCTCTGTTTTCTGCTCACAACCGAAAATACCCTCATTGAACCTGAAGCTACCTCTGTAAGTGAGGCTGACGAGCCAGGAAGCTCCCAGAGGCCACCTACCTCCTCCTTTTCATTTCTGCTTTAATTGCTTTTTAATAAAAGTCATCCTACTGCGTGTGAGGTGGCATCTTAAATCCATGGGCCATGGATAGACCCTGACCCTTTAACAAAACCGGATCCTTCTGGTGTGTGACTATGACACATTATTCCAGAAAGAGGTTGGCGTCTCTCTTCAAAGTAGACGCTTTGTCCCCTGAGCCGTCTCCTCACTCCCGCCTGCGTCTCACACTTAGCGGCATTTCACACCTTCCGGTGTGCAAGGCGTGTGCCTTCTTGGCATAGTGCAAAGTGTACCATCCATTCTACTATGTGTATTACGGTACTACACGTATAGTGTGGCACCTGCAGTACGAGACCATTCGCAAGCCGGGCAAGGGCCTGGCGATTTAAACACACAAAGACGCACAGAGACATGGGTCATCCTTGAAACAAGAATGCCAACTTTTATTGTGTACCAGAGCTGCTTCTATACGGATCCTTAACTGATAGCCGCGCCCCAGCCAAACCCACCAGAAATCACTCCTCTGCCACCAGGAATTCCTGAGGGTCTCGTGCTCAGAGCAGCTGCAAACACAGGAAAACAAGTTGTTTTGCTCAGAGCAGCTGCAAGCATAACAAATTGGTTACAGGAAATTCAGGGCCTATGTCAGCCCCCAACAGCAAAGAATTTTAATTAGTGTTGAAAACGGAATGGCAATGGAACAGCTCTCCTCATGTCTGGCCTTCCGTCTCCTGCTCCAGAGACTTCGCTCTGTGCAGTGCAGCATTCGTATTCTGGGCTTTTCTTTTATTATTTATGTACTAACGTCAGTTTTGTTAAAAATCACGGGTAGCCATGTTTTGTTTATAAAGACCTTGCAGACAATGTGTTTAAATAAATGAACTCACAAGCCCTCATATCAAGGCTGGAAAAGGCAACCCAGTAGAAGGAAATAGGTCCCATAAGCAGGCAAAAGAGTCTGAGAAACCCCCATTCCCATTGTTAGGAGCCCAACAAACACCCTAGCTAAGGGACCACAGCATGTATACAGAGTGCCCAGGGGAGACCCACACAGGTTCTGTGAGTGCTACTTTAGTCTCTGTGAGTCCCTATGAGCCCTGCTTATTTGATTCTGTGAGCCGAGTTCTCCTCGTGTCCTTGACCCCTCTGGGTCCTACAATCCTTCCTCCACCTATTCTGCAGAGTCCCTGAGCTCTACCTAATCCTTGGCTGGGGAGCTCTGTCTCTGCTCCTGTCAGCTGCTGGAGGAAGCCTCTCTGATGGTGATTTGGCTATGCCCTGATCTCGGAGTATAGCAGGATATCATTAGGAATCATTTCATTGACTTTTTTTTTTTTTTTTTTTTTTTTTTTTGGTCAGTAATGTTTGGTTCTACCCCAGACCCCAGGTCTCTGAGCCGCTCAGCTTCCGGATCCTGGAAGCTGGTGTCGGGCAGTGTCAGGCTCGGGTTTCCTCTCATGGTGAGGACCTCAGGTTAGAACAGCCATTGGTTGGCCACTCCCACAAGCTCCAAGCCTCCATTGCCACTGCTCATCTTGCAGGCAGGGCAGGTTGGACGCCATTGACCTTGTGGCTGCTTGGGGTCCCAGTGCCACCGCGGGAAGCCTAGCCTGCTTACAGAAAATGGCTGGTTCAGGCTCTGTATTCTCCCTTACCAGAAGTTCTCTCTAGGGTCAATCTCATAGGTTCCAGAAAGTTTCCACTGCCCTAGGTTTCCATATTGCCCCCCGAATGCCCACCTATTTCAGTCATATCTCCCTCCGTCCATCCGTCCGTCCGTCCCTCCCTCCCTCCTTCCCTTCCCCACCTGACTCCCACCCTCTTCCCCTTCCCACCTGCCCCCAGGCTACCCACAAACTCTGTTCTATTCCTGCTTACCAGTATTGTCTATGCATTCCCCATAAAACTCTCTATTTTATTTAACTTCTCTGCATCTGTCTCTTTTGACTCGTGGTTTCTCTTTGTAGCCCTGGGCATCCTGAAACTCACTCTATAGTCCCGGCTGGCCTCGAATTCAGAGATCCGCTTACTTCTGCCTCCTATTAAAGGCATGCACCACCACCACCACCGCCACCACCCGGCCCATGCTGGATTTGAACTGGCTTGATCTGCAGCTCTTGTGGAGGCAGCCACCACTACTGGGGGTTCGTGAGTGCAATGGCTCCATCATGTCTGTAGATAGCGTTTCACAGCCTTCATCCTCATCTTCCAGCTCTCGCATCCTTTCTGTTCCCTCTCCCAGGATGCTCCCACAGCCTTTCCCAGGGTTCGTGGGAGCGGAGGAGTGGAATGATAAAGATGTCCCATGTAAGGCCAAACACAGTCATTTGTCCTCAGCTCAAGTAATATTTAAATAAGCTGTCATATTTCATTGCCAAAGTTTGGCAAATAAAATGTCTCTGAGCCAAGCTTGGTGGTGTCAGCCTGTATCTTAGGTACTCAAGAAACTGAGGCAAGAAGATCACAGTTCAAATATTGCCTCAGCTACAGAATATGTTCAAGACTAGCCTGGGAAACATAATGAGATTCCACCTGAAAATAAAAAGTGGAAAAGAGAACTGGGGGTGGGCAGAATGCTTTCCTAGCATGTGCAAGACCCTCACAGTCCAAACTGAAAGAGAAAGAGAGAGACAGAGAGAGAGAGAGACAGAGAGAAAGAGAGAGACAGAGAGAGACACAGAGACAGAGAGAGACAGAGAGAAAGCCGGGTATAATATCAAGAATTTGTCATCTCAGTGCTGGAAAGATGGAGGCATGAGATCCCTGTTGTCCACTGGCCAGCCAGCCTAGCCTACTTGGTGAGTCCTAGGCTAGAGAGAGACCCTGTCTGTACCCTGCCTGAGGAAGAAGACTCAAGGTTGTCTTCTGATCTCCACATACACAGGCACATCCCCGCACACACTCACAAACATGCATGCAACCCCCACTCCTACATGCAGAGGTAGAGAAACACAAGCGGACTAACATCTGACAGCCTGCACAGTGCATCACAGAAGAGAGTGCAGAGTGTCCCCAGCCCTCGGACTGAAGCGCTGTCGGAGGGCATGGCGATTACCAATCACATGTGGTTAAACTTGCTGTCTGTCCATTGCAGTGCTCTTCCCTTTAGAGCCTTCCTCGGCACTACAAAGAGGGTTGGCATCTTAGTATTATTGAATATTACAGCATTGAATCAAGTGTTACCCGATTAACCAGGCAAATTGTTCAAGCCGCGTCCTGAAGCTTCAGCCAACACGGTGTCTTACTTTCTGTTCCTGTTGCTGTTGTAAAAGACCCCGATGGAAACTTAGGGAGGGGCTGGAGAGATGGCTCAGCGGTTAAGAGCACTGACTGCTCTTCCAGGGGTCCTGAGTTCAATTCCCAGCAACCACATGGTTACTCGCCGCCACCTGTAATGAGATCTCTGGTGCCCTCTTCTGGCCTGCAGGCATACAAGCAGACAGAACACTGTATACACAATAAATAAATATTTATATATTAAAAAAAAAAAAAACTTCGGGAGAAAGCGTTTGTCCGGCCCACAGTTCAGGTTGTAGGTCCATTACTGCAGGGAAGTTTACTGCAGGAAAGTCAAGGCGGCAAGTCTCATCATATCCACCCACAGCCAAAAGCAGAGAGCTATGAATGAGGACATGCATGACGGGGCTCAGTTTGCTTCCTCTACTTGTATATAGTCCCGAAGTGCCTGCCTAGGGAAAGGAGCCTCTCACAGTGGGCAAGGCTTCCTATCTCAATTAATATAGTAAAAAAATGCTTATGGATATGCTCAGAAGCCTAAATCCCTGGAGACCTTTTGTGTCAAGTTGGCAACTAGACCTTACCAACACACTTGCTAAATATAAAATCCTAGCTGGTGCACTGTGAGAGCTCTCTCTCTCTCTCTCTCTCTCTCTCTCTCTCTCTCTGTCTCTCTCTGTCTCTCTGTCTGTCTCTCTCTCTCTCTCTGTCTCCCTGTCTCTGTCTGTCTCTGTCTCTTTCTCTCTCTGTGTTTATATGTGTGTGTAGATA